GTCCATTTTCATCACCGGTGACAATTCTGGCCAAAATGGTTCACGCGTATTACGCGCCAGAAGAGACGAAGCAACGTTCACATGTTGGAAACGATGATCATCGAAGAGTTCGTGATGCATCCAAGCACCTTCTTTATGAAGTTTTCCCATATTCCTCAGATGTTTATGTATTGTTTCATGAGAGACATGCATTTCCAGGGCCATTTCAGGAGTGTGTTGCCTTGAGTTGGACTCAACGAGCGTCTTCAAAGCATCAGCATTAATTCCAACATGTTGGCCCCTGCCATCACAGTTTTTAAGCCTAAAGTCACCTGAACGAAATTTGCTGAACCACCGTTAACACTTACGAACGTTCAAAAAATTTCCATAAGCTTATATGACATTCTTTGTGGCTACAGAGGCATTGTTTCCCTTCTTGTTTTTAAACATAATTACATGCCGAATGTGTGTCTTGTCGTGTGTCATCACTATAAGGGATTAGAGTATACTAAACTTTAAACATTATATAGGCTACGCTAACATGACGTTTAAGCGGTTCGTTTAACTATTATACGTGATGTGCGTTTTTTTTTGGGGGAGGGGGGTTAATGAAAGAGTTCCAAAACGCGACATTAATTTCTTTGACGACTTAATATAATAATTGGTTTACTTTGAGCGCACACAACACACAAATTAGCTAGGACCAGCTGTGCAGCACAATCGCATAGTTTAAAACTTAGTGAGGCATAACATCATTCAGTCACAAGAAGATTTACTAAATCTTTATAAATATAAAAAAACTACTAGCAAAATTATTAATGGAGCAAATGCCCCACTGGTTTCAGGGCCCAAGTATTATTAAGTATACAAAAGAATCATGAGTTTCATAAAATTTCTTCGCTTCATTCACCGCACTACACTGAAATTGATGTGAAATTTAGCCTGATATATCAGGAATAATGTGTGTAAGGGTAGGCTTAATGCTTAAGGGTTTTTTTATTATTATTATTTATTTAGGGTGAAGATGGATTCCAACAATGAATCTATTTAAAGTAATTACATTTGGCAAACATTAAACCAAGATATTAAATACTAAACAACTGAGTGAAACAGTTATCAAAGAGAACATTAATTTGATTAGTAATATAAAACTTTTGAAAACTAAAACAATAATAAATAAATGTTCAAATAATGGGAAACATTACTAATAGTCCTACTAAATATTTAACACCAGTAAATAAAAAGAACGAGTTCCTGAAATTATATAAATGATTAGGTTTGTTCATAAAATGAAATAAAGCTTATCGTTATTAATGTTTAGATTAGCCCTGCATTAGGCCTAGATTATAATTAGTAATGCTTGGCACGCTCAGCATGAAGACCGAAACGTTGTACAAAAACCATCTACGTGTTGTTCTTTTCCATACTACTCTAGCGCGATTTTGCTCTGTTGATTTAGGAGCTAGTTAGCCAGGTTTGAATCCATGCAATATCACAAAAATATTCCATGTACTTTGAAATTGTTTGTTCGTTATAAGAGTGGTAGTAAATCCATTTTAATGGGTGGTATGGTGCTGTTTACTCGCTGGTCAAAACTTTCAGAATTAGGGACGGCGTTAGATAGCCTTAGTAGCCTTCTTCATAAATACCAAACTATCAGGCTTGAGACATTTGCTACCTATAAATTAATTCTGTTATTTTAATCAACTTGTAAATACATCACTGTACATTAGTTTGGGCTTACAAAGTAAAAATAAAATTGAAATTTGTTTTGATCAGTCATTACGTCTTCATTACTTTGTCGGGTACACTGGTGGGACGTTTTTGGTTGTATATTAAATTTTTAAAAGATCGATATAGCTGTTAATTAAGAAGACAGGCGGTTATGACATCCAAGACCGAGTAATTTGCTACAGATAGTAGTTAAGGCTCGTTGGAAAATGAACGACGATCTCATGCGATTAGACCTACGACACCTGGGGGAAAAAAGTGGTATGTTGTTACAGTTGAGGTGATTACGATGTTTGTGTGAGGCCTAATGTTTAGACAAAGAGCAATTCGTCGCAAGTGAAAAATTGATATTACTACGCTGTTGGCTTCCGTCCAGATTCTTACAGCGTCTGGTTTAGTGATAGGATCAGCTGTTCAACGAGAAGACTGATCCATCATTGGGTTTATGTCAGATATGGTTGCTGTCAAGTGTTGGATGTAAGCAAGGTCTTCATAATGTCTGGAAAAGATGCATGATGTGGCCAACTTAACCCGTGATTCTAGACGTGAAAGCCGTTGTAAAGATAATAGAATTATGCTTCCATTTTTGAAGAAAGCTAACTGCGTTTCGCCCCTCCTTATTGGCTACAAATAATTGAAGAAAATTGTAGAACAGAATCTGTTGGTAAGTACAGGATGTTTCGGGTTTTCCTTTCTTAACTGTAAAAAGAAAAGGATTACAACGTAAAGTTTATCAGGAAAAAATGAAGGATATTTATATGAAAGGTGTAGTGAAAGATTGAAAGTATCATCACATACGGGTGACTTCTCGAAACATTACCAACACCTTAAACTTCGTCAGTGCACTTCTGTCTTGTTTTCTGTGCCTTGCAGGACAGATTAGAAAAGATTCTTAGAGATAAGGAAAAGTTAAAAATTCCAAATTCATAAACACGTACATACATTTTTATTTTCTTTAGTTCTACTTTAAGTCAGTCCTGACCACCGCTTCTATGTTACTCCATCTGTATGTCATTCTCCCTAACATTCCTTTTCCCGGCCTTTCCTCTTGGCCTCCCCCCCCCTCCCTTCCAACCTTCACTCGCAATATACCGCTTTAGGCTGCTTTCTCGGTCGCCTATCCCTTAGACCGGCACTTATGCCCTGTACAAATTGTAGAATCGAATATTATGCTTGAGTTGGTTGAGAGGTTCAACGATAAATAGGCCTGCATTTTGTCGTAAAGTTTGTATCTTGATTTATTTATTACGCTGTAAAAAAAAAAAAAAAATCTGACATTGTTACACCAGATCTTAGCTGTATAAATCCTATTTTTCAGAAAATTTCTTTATTGATATTTCCAGACGTATACTGTTTATGTTCATATTCATCCTTCAATGTAAATAATACCCTGGAATACATGTTTTATATGTAAATTCAAACAGCCATTCCGCTGAAACTTCGGTTCGTGTAAGATGAACTATACATTTTGCATAAGAGTTTCCACTAAATTGATGTTTTTGTCCTGTAGTTGAGCTATATAGTATAATAAATCCTTGTATAGATCATGATTACGTCTACAAATCCCTATAAAGTGAGGCCAGAGTAACAAATATTTCGATATCGTTCCTTTTACTGATTGATGAGAAGTAGGCACCACTTGCTATTCTGGGGAGAGGTGGAAGTTTTACCGCTTATTTTTCAATAATATGATGAAACTGACTGATACACCAATAGCCTAATCAATATCAACTCAAGAAAATGAAAATTTAGCAGAGTCCACAAAAGCTTTTATTCAAACCTGAATTCATGCAACTGATAGGAATTCAAAATTTAGTTGTAGTAAAAGTTATTATTGGAAAAATGTGGCTACTTGTGTAGTGATTTTTGTATGTTCATCCCTATCTTGTTTCTGTACTTTTGGCATTGCCATCCATACTTCATGTTTGCAAAACAAAATTTTATTACATCTATAATTAAGTTAAATTTCTAATACCCAACATTAAATATCTGCTAAGCTATAAATGTAATCTGATTCTAGCAAATCAAGCTTAATCATTACAGACATTAAAAAATAAAGAAAGAAATTATTGAAAAGAAAAATATATATACTTCATTAAATGGAGTTGTCATTTTGAGTGAGAAAAAAATGAGAAATGACTAATTCGTAGTTATAAATAAAACAACCTTCATAAAGCATAAGCTTGCTTTGAATTACTGACTAAAAATTTGGTATGAACTGTGTAAGGATTAAACACATCAACAGAGTATGATTTTGACCTCTGAATTAATAAATATAAAGATATTTGGTATCTGAATAAGTTGTTTATTGTTAAATATTTGACCACTAATTTACTTTCATCCACGAAAAGTAATGTTTTATATCCTTTATTTTTTAATAAATTCAGTAAGAACCCCTCTAGAATACTATACTATATCTTTTATGGCTGAAAAAGTGTTGTTTTAGGTATTTTGGTGATGTATATAAACACCATCTAACACTAACAATTAAAATTAAGTTGATAGTTTTTGCAGAAATATTTAGCAGAAAGTGATTATGAAATACAACTTGCTAGCGGTGCACGTTCTTTAACTACACTGCCTCATAAATTTTAGTATAACAGAAAACCTGATAGACGGAAAATTATGAGATTTAATTCAGTATTCACTAAGCTGTTTCAGTAATTATTTTGGTCTGTAGTAGTAGTAGTAGATGTTATTAATGTTAAGCTTCTAATTATGTTTTAGATTGCCTGTGTTTTGCTTAATGATAGTCATGTGTGTGTGTGTATTGTTTTTTAGAGTTTTTTTTTTAAATTGTGATTTTTTTCCATTCTATTGTAGGGTTGTAGCAGCCCTCTGGTGGTAAAATTTGCTGACACTCAAAAAGAAAAGGATCAAAAACGACAACAGCAGATGATGGCTAACTTATGGAATATGACTAATTTTGGAAACATTAGTACTTTGACACCACAGTATTTATCAGTAAGTGCACAATGTATTATTACCATATTTGAAAGTAACAGTTAGTGAACCCCCCACATTAAAATTGTCAACAAACAACATATAATGCTTTGTATAAACTTTATCTAAATATTCTAAGCTGGACTGATCTTGTAAAGATTATTGGGGTTAAGTCTCCAAGTACTGTTTACAGTGAGGCTAACCCACTAATGTATAATATATTTGTATTGTAATATGATTTTTCTTATTATATATATAGTATCATCTTAATCCATATCTGATTTAATTTCGTTGACAAATGTTGTGAACTAAACCTGAGTGACTAGCTTTGAGCTAAGTTTATATATTAACAGTTACTACTACACATAAATGTATTTTTTTTATTTTGAATCGCTCGTAAATTTGCTTAAGTTAAAAATGGGTTTGTGTGTTAATTAATTTAACAACAATGTAACTGTAAGATAATTTAGTAGAAGATCCTTTACCAACAGCCTTGAAATGTTGAATTATTTGTTGATGGACTATCTGGCCACCAACTGACTTGAACCTGCATGTCTTTTTGGCTGCTGATTGACTAGTTGGTAAAATACTAGAACAAATCATAATTTGTTTAGATATTACAATCACTTCCAAAACAGTATAACAGTGTGATTCGAAGAAGATTTAATCCTTGTCTGTAGTTCTAAATATTTTGATGATTGTTGTGTTTTATATTTGGCTGAAGTGTATCTTATTATTATTTTCTAAGTCTCATACTGGTATAAATTAGTTTTAATTTAAAATATAAGGTTTGAAAATACTTAAGAGGCATTCATGTATTATCCAGACCCAAAAATTTCAAAACCTTTATATTAGAGGCAATCTGGTAATAGGAATAATCAAGAATTAATCAATTTTTGGAGGATATTTTTTAAATTTGTTTAAACTATGAAGCATATAATACATGCAGGGTTAAAAAAAATTACATGTGCATTTTTTCATCCAGAATTGACAGTTTACTAACAAAATATAAGTAAAACACACGCGTATAATAGTTTATTGTGTAGTACAGCTATGGGCATTTTCAACATATTATAGTTTTTTTCCTTGTCCACATATTCAGCTTAATTTATATCTTTCAAAATCTTTGTTATTATTCTAATTCAGAACTATTAATGAGCTGGGTGTGACATAGTTGTTAGCATCCAAGACTAAGTTCAAGAGTTTAAAGTTAATGTCCCATTATCACAAATTTGTAACTTGCACTTTGGGGGAAGTAGATGTGTTGTAAGAGTAATTGTCATATATCAAAACTTGATCAAATATGAGTAGCCCACAAGTTGGTGTTGAGTGATTTGGCTAGCTGCCTTCCCTATAGCATATCAGCTGAAAATTATCAGTGCTCAAAACACATACATAATACCATTCTGCAAGTTGTATGAATCCATGATTAAAAACACTAATAACTAATTTACAAAGCTCTCTAACTCATTAATTGTAAACAATAATAATTTTAAAACTCAAAATTTCATATGCAGATATTCCAGTTTGGAGTTTTATTTGAAGACTTCAAAAACAATACTAGAGAAAGAAATTATATATATGAACCATTAATATTTTTTATATTTTTCAATTAATGAAACATGTATATTAAACTAATTGGTAAGTTTATAATTAGCCACACTACCACCAGAGAATAATGATAGTCAACATAATAATAATATTAGTGCATGAAGCCAACTGTAAGATTTCTTTGTGTGCAATTTTAAGATATCGTTAACTATTTTGACAATAATTGTGTTGTCATAATGTGGTTATTAAAAAGATATTGTTGAAGGAATAAGTAGAAGTTTATCACTGCTACATTCATTACTTTGTTAAAAGTGGTGTACTGGAGCAGTGCTGTAGTGAAAAACTTGAATGTGTGATATGCTATTTAAAACACAAGTGATGTTGGCTTAAAATTACTTGCATAACAACAAAAACTAAAACAGTTATTCAAAAAAAGAGAGAGAAATGCTCTGTGTTGTATTATATGCTATAAAAACTGATTTCCAAGAAACCCAGATGCCTTTAATTTTAAAAAGTGTCCTGGTCTGGTTATACGGAATTTTTTTTTTGTTCTCAATGTTAGCTTCTTCAGCAGGCTGCTCAGACTGGGGCCTTTGGAGGTTTCACCAACCTTCCTCAGTTAGCTGGAGGTGAATGTTATGGTATGTGATGTTTCTGTCTGTTGAATAATTACCGTAAACACGTAAAATATACCATGATAAATTTAGAATTGTTGTCTTAAGCACTGAACTGAAACTTAAAAATTTGTTGTTTTTTAACGAATCTTTGTTACTTCATGCTTTACTTGGTACCAGTCTTCATATATTAAAAATAAACTTTGTAGTTTTTCATTTAAATAAAGAACTTAATAATCCAAAACTTTGAAAATATTTGTTTTGTTTGAAGTAAGACATACAGTGTTGTGTTTAGCCTGAAATGGAATACATCTAGTCAATTAGAACTAATAATGTGTTTTGAATATAAAGCATGACTACTTATTTATAGGCTGTACACTGCAACAGCATGTACTGCTGATATATACAGCAAATATTCATTATTGCCCTTTAAATACCATTATTTTCTGGCTATTTGGTTTTGTAATATTCTACTTTTTCCAAACCAGTATCATTAAGCTGTGTAATTATACAATAGAATATAGGTATAAGTACATGTGAACACAGATAACAATAAAATTGATGTTCATACATAGCCTTACTGTTTACATAAATAATATATAGTAATGTATGCACAATATGTAGATTTAACTTTTGAAATAAATGTTTTTTTCTCTAGAACATTTTCTGTTATCATTTTAAAGATAATTGCTCCATTTTACTGATTTCTTACTGTTTTTTATTCCTTTACTCAGATATTTATCCTTATTATTCATAAACATGGAGTGAAATATACACTTACACTATTTTCAGTGCTTTATTTATTACTGTCTAAAATTTTATTTATCTTGCATATTAATTAAACGTGAGTTTATTAAGTAGCTACTAAATCACGAATGGATCTGTATTCACAGGAATTCGACTATAATTTTATAATTTGATTCAGTTGCATAGAGCCCATATAAAGTATAAAAGAAGTGACAAATTCGTTAGTTTTAAAGAGCTCTAACAATATGATTAGTTTTACATTCCACAGTAGTTGACATTTTGTGTGTATTTAGTCTCATCTTGAGTATCCTCCTTGTGTGAATTTTTGTAAAATAATCATTAACAATTAGACACAGCATAACCTTAACACTTATAGACTTGAATGGTTTAACTCAGTCCTCATTACATTTCATTTCTTTTCTAATTGAATTCTGGCCTAACAAGAATTATGCGGTCAGCATTATTGCAAACTTTTTTCTGTAGATAAGCTCTTATACACTTCAGAGGAAACTATTTTGGCTGTATAAAATGTTGTGTCATAGAGTTTAAAATTGCTTAATGTTTGTTTGAATGGAACTTTATTTAATACAAATGTACCTAAGTTAATTTTTAAGTCTGTTAAAATATTTTGTTTGGTATAAAAATTTAATTTGTAATTAGAAGATTCAATGAATATATTAAATTACTTAAGCAGGAGGTCCATATAGTATTGTTTATGTATAGAATATATATGTATCTTCCTTACTAAAGCAAAGTTATACATGTTATCTTTCTTTATGGGCTGTGTTTGCATGGTGTGGTGCATTTCAGAAGGTCCAAGGTTTGAACTACAGTATGCTACCAAACACACTCATATAATCAACTGAGGAAGGAAATTATATCCTTGGCATTTCATCATGATGTTCAGTTAAAATTAGACTGCATATCCTGCTGATTGGCTGACTTCCCTCATGTCAGCAGTTCTAAGTTGAGGGATGGTTATGCCTCAATCTTGGAATCTCTTACTTGGTCGTTTAGCTAGTTTCACCTAAGGTGCTTTTAAGGTTAAAAATACCAAGTATTATGTTTTTCATGGCCGAAAAGTAAATTTCTAACATTGTTTGGATATGTAAGAGCTTTTAGAAAGTTACTGATATTAGTATTGAAAAAAGATGACGTTAGTTAACTTCCTCTTGTGCAGGTGTTAGTTCCTTGAATGTTCAGCAGCAGCTAGCAGCTCTTGCAGCAGCTCAAGCTTCTGCCAACAACAGTAACACAGGTATGATTGTATATGTTCTTTAGGCACATGACTAACATTATTTTTTTCTAAACAGAAAATTATAAACATGTTATTTTTTTTTTAGCTTCTTCAAATTTCTAATATAATTTCTATGTTGAAAAATTTCTTCTATCTTACGTATCTTATGATGTTTGTATATTTATTTGTTATTGTTTTTATTTTTTGCTGAAATTGTACTGTTAACAACTTGATAAACATTTAATATTCTCTTCTTTCTGAATGTTGTTCTGTGTTGATAGACTAAGAATACCCCCTTTTTTCTGAGTGTTATTCTGTACTGGTAGATTATGACAGGTATTTAACACCTGCCACATGAGTCAGCCTGGATTTTGTTTAAATTAGTCACTCTAGAAAGGTTTGGGTTGTTTTGATTAGGCAAAAAGAAGACATTTGGCACTATTTTTGAGGATTAGGCCAGTGGACCAGACCCGTGACCTGACCCAAGACCATGAGAGCCAACATGGAGAAGTTAACTTGTAACTGAAAAGTAAAGCAATGTAGCAATGAAACATGCTTGACATATTCTAGATGTGGTTGGGAATGGGATGGTTTAAGTGAAGCAATTAAGCTAAACCGTAGGTCCAGGTCAGATGAGGGAAGAACTTATTCAAAGATATCCCAATCAATTTGACACACCAGCTGAATCAGAAATTCATCAATTGATTACAGCATTGACAGCAAAACATAAAAAAAACAGTTACAATAGTATCATTATCTTCAGATATACAAGAAATCTTCAATTTCAATATTTTGTCACTAATGGCACAGTAAAGCCTAAAGATGCAGTGTTGAAGTTTAAGCAGATGCACGATCCATTACAAGATGATGTCCCTTGTGATTCTCAAATTAAAAATGCCTTTTTTGCAATGAAAAATAAATATAAGAAGGATGGTATAATGCCCAGTATGATATCATCAAAGTATAATCAATATAGATTTTATCATGTCATGTTTTCATTAATATTTAGTTTTTTTCATTTTACAAGCTGTGCTGAGGTTCATTCATTAAGATCTATCGAAATAACCCTAAATTACCAGTTTCCAGAATGACCCTGTTCTTGACCATCATGATCTCAGTACTAAAAGATGTTTGGCTGGCTCGAGTGGCAAGTGTTTTTGAGCATTGCACTTTGTTGGGAGATTAGGAATTATATTTAATAATATATTGTTTCTGGGTGTTGGTAGACTAAGTCTTTATTTAACAAGATCTTGTTTTTCACTGTTATTATATTAGACTAGGAGTTATTTTTAATAACTAATACTAATTATGTGCTATAATTGTCTCCAAGACCATTATGAAAGAACTAAGCAAGTTATTAATCCATTTTCTCTGTTCTTAATGTTTGGGTCGGTTGTGCTATAATTGTCTCCAAGACCCGTACGCAAGAATTAAGCAAGTTATTAATCCATTTTCTCTGTTCTTAATGTTTGGGTTGGGGTTGTT